TAAAAGCTTCTGCAAGGACTAGATACATTCTAGGCTTCTTTATTTAATATCTGCTGCAACAGCAATATGCTCCTATTGTGTTGCTGTAGTAGAAACACCTTTTTTTAGGATGGCAGAATGTGATTAGTTTTTTATTTGAAGAAAACACAAAGGTTTTTCATTTTCTAGAGTTAGGGCTTTTTTTCAAAACCAGAGTAAAGTGCTCTGCAATAGCTTAGAGAATTCTTTGTGCTCTATTTACTACCCTATTTACTTCATTTCTCTAGGCAGGCCCTTATGAAACACAATTGTCTCTTCCATTCTCTGACTCTGAATCAGTGCTTCTCTCCTCACTGCTTTATTGTAAAGTTTTCCAGAAATGCATCTAGGTGAAAACTTCAGTGGCTTGACAACATCAAGAGATACACTTAAACCTTAGGTCTGATTGTTATACATAAAGATATTAACACAAATCAGTCTTTCCATCCATGCCTTTCCATCTATCATCTCATAATAGAGAAAAGAGTGATACAACAAAATTGCACAGGAGTCTTCAACTCAGATTTCATTATTAATGATGAAGTTAATACTAATGAGAGAGTAAAAAAGGTCAGTCAGTAAGGGACTCAGTATACCCTCAATTATTTGTGGAGTTCCAATTAAAAAAAAAATCTTCTAGTTAAGTTATAGAACACTTATAAACTGAGATATACCTGAAAACAGTCATGAAGGATTTTAAATGCTACTGGCAATTAATTTTTTTAGTTGTATGAACTAGAAACCACTGCTTACTATGCAGTACTATTCCTATACACATCAATATATCTTCATGTAATTCAACTCTTATTATACCACTGAAAAAACAACCAAAACCCCTGTTATGAAAAGAAAATCTCAGCTTTCTCTTCTGTAGGGTTACCTTTCAAGTAGTACAGACATTGTTACATACAGGAAAGCTGCGATATTAATCGCTTTCCCCTGAGTAGCATTTCCCAAGCAAAGAAAGGAAAAGCAACTTTTTAGAGCCAAAAGCAGTGTTACCTCTATAAAAGTAACGGGTGGAGTAGAGTGGGGTGTCAGAGATGAGAATGACATGATAGTGACTTGGTGGGCTTCTGTTAAAAACTAATGAAAGCATTTTTGTTTTCTCTGTATGTATTAGAAAATCTGGCTAAAATTTGGCAGAAGAATGTAGGTTTTTCTATGTGTGGCCCCTAAATTAAAAGCCTTTTAAATTGTGCTTAGAATGCCTTTTACACATCACTGCAAAAATACTACTCTGAGATGCAAAGTTAGTAAGCTCTGCTTTAAGCAATCCTAGAATCACATTCATTTGCAGTAAATTAAAATTTTAATCAGTACTGTGCTATGATCTTCTACCATGATTTTTCTTCTTATAATTCTAAATAACACTATACAGAGTATTCAAGATTATTTTTGTATTTTTAATATTATTTGAAGACAATCTACTTGCATTATGCATTAACCAAACATAAGTCTCTCTCATCACAATAAAGTCTTTAGGAAGTATCTTTAATATATCTTCACAGTATATGAAGACAGACAATTCTTACCAAAAAAGCAACCTGTCAGGGTTCTTGACACCCAGTTCTAGACAGTAAGGTCACTGTCTAGAAATATTAATAAGAAATATTTAAAGTGTTCTCATCCACACTGAGGAAAGCATAATTGGCCAGAAATATTTCTACATTCTTACTTGCCACTTTCAGATATGTGTCTTTTTCCAGGCTGCCTTGTACATCTTAAAATGGCTTTCTTAATAAATAGTTATTGCAATAGCTTTCTTAAGGTATACATTTGGGATGTTAAAAAAGACAAAGAATAAAAGCCTCACTAGAACAGAAACTACAAAAGATAGCACTTTGACTAAAGAAATACATACAATTTTCACATTTAATTGCATTAAGAGGATACTCAGAGCTCATTAAAAAAATCTGCTATAACTGCTCTGTGGCTTGGAGCAGAGACCTCCTCTCGCCTATTCAGCCTCACTAAAAGCACTCTGCAAGGCCATATAGTAGTCCTGAGCTGTAGATATAAGATATTTAAGTGTTTGAAAATAATTTTGCAAACTACACTTTAAGGAGCAGGCTTATGATAAAAATGAAGCCTCAACAAACTTCTACCACAAACAATTTCCACTTGACACAGATTGATATTTCATTCTGGAGCTACACAAAGACAATACAAACAACTGGCAAGTCCTTCAACATCAAGGCAAACAGTTGAGTTTTTATTATTCTTCAAAAAAGCATTAAGATACAATTTACAAGGCTGCAATCCCTTCTTTTCAGAGTTATCCCAAAAAAGGTATAAAGAAAAAACCCATGCACAACGTATTTTAGTATTGTCTTATGCTAAAGTAGTCAAGCTGGTTTGGCTGTCCAGGACAAATCAGAATGTCCTCTGAAACTGACTGAGCTTTAGCATGTACCAAAGTTTGTGATTTGTAGGGCTCTTTACCAACATCTATCATGTTATTTCCTTCTTATTTTTGCAACTCTCCAACCTACAATCTTTCACATTAAATAAATCAATCATTAAAGAGCTTTGTATTTTCTCTGTTCAGAGGACAGCATACACCTATTTGGGATTTTTTGCTTAAAAAAAAAAAAAGTGTTCTGGGACAGAAATTAACAGCACAAAAATCTTGTTCCAAGCACTTTACATAATGTTATAACACTTTTCCATCTGCAAGGAGCAGAAGAAGCTTTACAGGTTCTGACTGTCTCATCAATACCTACTGTGTTTCATTCCAGGTTTTACTATCACACCATCACTGCTAGTAGGAAAAGCATTCTAGTTGAAACAATTTTGATGACTTCTTGATCCACATCTATTGGCTTGGAGTGACAATTTTACCCTATTCCTTTAGCATCTTAATCATGAGACACTTTAAGAATGTTCAGAAGCTATGAAAAACTCCAAGAAGTTTTGATCCTACATGTTGTTTTGGGGTCAATTTACATTTAAAACAAATCAGTATTTTTGAATATCTTAAAGTAAGTACATCATATTGCTTCAAGTGTAAGCTTCTATTTTGTTAATAAATATGATGGTTTTCAGAGAAAGATGGATGAACTGACAGCATCCAAGTCCCACTATTTCACCACAAGAATACATAAATGCTTTAAGGTAAGCTATTTCATTCTGGTTCTAGCATGACCTAACTTCTCCAAATATTTCTAGTTACAATTTTATGTAAATAAAACAGTTTAAGTCAAGTATGGAAAAGATAAATGGCAGTCTTTCCTCTTCCCTACACTCTCCCCAAGTTTGAAGCATGGCTACATTCTTCTATCCCCTAATGACATAAAATTTAGTTCTCTTCCCTGCCCCCACTGAATATTTTACACCTGGTTCAACTGTACACTTCACATGTTTTCAAAAGATGGGGCTTTTCTAACATGGCAGGTGTGTCTGCAAACACAGTAGGAATCAGATATTATCAGGTGTTTGTAGTGCTAGAAAGAAATGTACTATTCTCACCATAACTACTGTCAAAAAGAAGAAATACAATGCAGGACAACTATTATCAAAAAGAAGAAATACAGTAAAGGGAAGTTCCTGAAAAAATCTTGCAAAAATTTTTTATGTAATTTTGACAGGGCATTTTTGTAACTGCCTTCAAAGTTTGTTTTTTATAAATGCCTGAGCATATGAGCTATAACTAGCCAAGGCAAAGACTGGCATTCAAAGTCTGCAGCTACCTACAAAGGTTAGCTTGAATTCAAGATCTTTCCTCAAGTTTATTTACCCAACAGAGAACCAATTTGTGAAGCAAGCTTCCACTGTAATTTCACTGTCAATCTGTCAAACTGAAAACCTTTATGTTGTTTGGATTTCCAAAAACCTTGGGGATGGGAGGAGCACCTCTGTGCAGGAAGAAAAAAAATTTGTACACAAAACTTGCGGTTGCATCTAAGAAACATGTAACACAGTACAGACAGAAAATGATGTCTACAAGCCATGCAAAAAGTTGCTCTTCTTTGAACACTTAAGAGTTATTCACTGTTTTATTATATCATCTTTCCTTATGCTATCTTTCTTCTTCTTAGACATATTTCCAAGGTCACTTTTCAGAGTTTACTTGTGATCCTACAAAACCTGCACATTGCTTTCTAAACTAGAATACGCCATCTACTGGCAATTTAGTAAATTGGAAGTTCATCCATCACTACTTTAAACATTCTTAAAATTTTACCTGTGCTCAATTTAAATGCAAAACTAAAGGAACGAACTCCAGCTAAATCCTTCAGACTGCATTCCAGCACTTGGCATATAAATATTATGAGTATGTTACAAGATATTTAACAACAACTCAGAAAGCGAGTGCTACACGGTAGGTCTGTTCAGCACAACTTTCTGAACCCTGATCAAACTGTTTTTCCTTTTTCTCTGCTGCTATTTTCTTATTTTATGTCAGGGAATAAAACATCCCCATCCTCTAATCTGAGGTTTCTAGAAAAAAAAATCAGCTGCAAATTGAATTTAAAGAAAGAACTGTTTAAAATATTTTTAATGGTGTGAGAGTTGAAACATATTCAACTCATATATTTTAAGAGTATAAGACCCATGTTTTAGCAACTCTGTCATAACAGATTAGCTTTTAATGTATACATGTTTCTCAACATTGCAGTGTTACAGTTCAGTAACACAGCTCAACTTCAGCATAAATGTACTTTTCAAAGTAGGTTTCCAAAACTGTTTTTAGGGTCTGGCTACTTTAATGATAGTTTCCACTTCTATAGTTTGTTAAGACAGACTGTTGAGGAAGTCCTTTGATACAGAGAACAGGTGCTTTACACACCTGAACCTGCTGCACGCTGTGACCGCACAGGAAGTGGCAGAGCTCGTAAATGGAGCACTTTAACCCTGGGAGGACAGCACAGCTCAGCAGGTGAAGCTGCCAGTCCAGCCGTGTGCAGGCAGCGAGCCGCAGGAGAGCTTCCTCCGCACCGCCGCCGGCCTCTCCGTTACCTGGAGCCGCATAAACTCCTGTTGCCCTTTCACACTGTCGTTCATGGCTTCGAGAAGATGAACGCCATCGCGCCCTGCAGAGCAGAAGACATGAGACAGAGGATGCCGGCGAGCGGGAGAACCGGGTGAGGATGACGAGAGCCGCCCCCGCGAGGAGCCTGTCGTGATCCAGCCCTCTCTTCCTCCCCTCCCTTTCGCCCCCTCTTCGGCTATAGAAACTATCAAAAGGAATTTGAAGAAATCCATCCCATATAAATAGACACACAGACCGTGGTAGGCTCACCTCTCGGGATATGATGCATCTAGGCAATCCATGTAAATCAACAAGGAAAATAATTTAAATTGCCTTTGTTGCTTAACGCTTCTTATCTTTCTCTGCCTTTCATTATGTGTCAGAATGTGTTCATGACATCATCATCTGTAATTACCGTCTGGCTTTGAAATCCAAAGAAAATAACTTTTCATACTTAAAAATGTTGAGTCAGAAATTATGTTCTATCAGTTGGCCTTTAAAACAGTGATACAAATAAGTGCTAGAATTACAGAATCACAGAATATTCTGAGTTGGAAAGAGACCCACAAGGATCATCAAGTCTGACTCTCAAGTGAATGGCCCATGCAGGGATCAAATCTACAGCCCTGATAATATTAACAGCATGTTCTAACATCCAGAATTTTTTTGGCATTAAGGAGTATCTCATTCAGTTTTCCAGCTTGAGTCTGTGAGGATACATGGCACTTCAAACACCTCATAGTGCAATTTGACATCTTGTCTTACCACAAGAATTAATGTTTTTCCAGAAACAATCTATTCACTCAATCTGCTGATATCTGGATCTGTACATGCTGGTTTTGCCAATACTTATTTTCTAAATCCAGGCATTTTTCAAATAGTTTCGTTAAAAAAAATATTGAGGAAACAGCTGTCTTCCCATTTTTCCTCCTTTTTTTTTTTTTTTTTTTTTTTTTTACTGGTAGAGCAAAAATGAGAGAAAAGGAAGGGGGAAATTTTTTTTTCTGTTATGGAAATTTGCTTAGTGTTTTTACTTGAAGTAAAAAACTTGAAGTAAAGAATTTCCAAGAACTTGAACTATTGTAGTGATACTTTGAAAATGTCTGTGACTTTTTGAAGTATTCAACAAGTGTTTAATTTCTCCCCTGGATCTCTGATGCAGCAGAGATCCAGGGGAGAAATTTACTGGTATACTCCAGGTCCACACAAGATGGCACTAATGCACTGGCAGCAACGGACAGGTGTTACTTTAACGAGACTTCATCAGAGAGAATTACGACTAATGGGTGTTTCACTAATTAATTTGTGAGAATGTAATGTTCTTTCAAAGCAGGTCACCAAAGATACCATTCATCTTCACACACTGAGCCCCTTGAAACCAAGCAAACCATTTTGATCTGTCCAAATCTTTCCTTGAGGAGTGCAGTAGACCTCTGTACTGCAGGTCTGGAAAACCTCTGTGTTACAGAGGTCTGCTTTCTGTAGAGGGGTCAACACGATCGTGCAGCAGATTTCAACAATACAAGAATAGATAAGGGAGAGGTGGAGGGGCAGAACTGTGACTTATTGCTAGGAAAAAGGTACAGGTTTCTGAAGAAAGGATCTAGGATTTAAGAAATAGCACAGAGAATGGAGACTAGTTTCCATAGGGCGTAAGAAGCCACTGTGATTCATGCCTGTGGAAGGGAAGCTGGTTTGAGCTACATCAGACTTCAAACACTGGCAGGAGTCCACCTGCAGTAGGGGCTGCAGCTCTTGCTTCTCTTGGTTGGTACAACTTGTGGCTGCAGACATGAACTGAATTATGTGATTTCACTGATATTGTCAATATTCATGGCACCACATGGCACCACCCACAGGGGATATAGCCTCTCCTGTTCCAATTCGCAGTCTGTCAGGTCATAGTACAGAGACCACAGGAAAAAATCAGACAGCATCATATATTGCATGGTGCTGTTAGATTGTCAGCATTTCTGAAGGCAGGCAGTATTTCTCTAGTCCAGAAAGCAACAGGTATTGCTGACATTATAAAAGACCCATGCGAAATTATGAAGACATTTCATTATAACACAAATCTGGCATCCATTAGAAAGGCAGTCATGTCTCCTTTGTTCTTGTCATATTTTTAAAAATAATTTTTAAATTATAAGGTATATTTTCTCCAGAAACAGCTGGTCCAAAATATAATTGAACCTTGGAAATGTTAAGTGTGATACCTAACAAAAAAAAAGAGTCAACTAAAAATTGAAGTGGTTATAATTTGTGCTGATGCAGATATTAATTAGGTAGTTTATTTGTGATTTATACATGATAAGGAAGAAAGAGGAACACAGAATTAGAACTAAAAGAAATATTTGAAAGAAAGCAAGTATATTTTCTCTTATCTTTACATGTAGTACACTTGGATGCATCAGTTTGAATTTTACCATAATGATTTGGATGTTAAATAATTAATTGTTCTCTTCAATTATATAATCCAGATTGAGTAGGAAACAGCATGCTGGAGATAGTCTATAGAACAAGTACCTGGAAAGTAGGCTATATCTGTATCTGAAAGATTATCTACAAAATAAATTCCAAAATCTATCAATCAAAATAATTAGTTTGAAAGAAACTGAAGAAAGAAATTGAAGATCAATGTCCTGAATTTGTAGAATTTAGCAAGCCAATTTCCTTGTTTTACCACAGTATATTTACTTAAGTATGCTTGAAGTGTACTCCCTGTAAACATAGATGACTGGACATTTTAACCCCATAATAGCTAATCATTTAACTTGTGACAGTAACTTTTTTCTTTTCTTTTAGATTTTAGGGATGAATGTTCAGCAAAACAATCCAGATTTTTAATATTTTACACTAATGAAGAAAGATGATTGCAATTGCAACCTTGTAGATTTTTACTTTTTTTTTTTTTTTTTTTTTTTTTTTTTTTTTTTTTTTTTTTTTTTTTTTTTTTTTTTTTTTTTTTTTTTTTTTTTTTGACTTTCTTGAATACAGGAATTGTGTGAAGGAAAATCCTAGCAGAGCTAAGATAAGCCTGTGGCTTTGACACAGAGTTTTTTGTTTGCTGTAGGGGAAATCACTATGTTATCTGGTCTTCATAGTCAACTTAAAGCATTTATCATAAACTAAAAGCTTCCACTTCATTCTGGGAATGTTTTTGTAGTCATATTTTGTACTTACTGGAAAGAAACTTCACAGCTTGGCTTATGATTATTTTGTCTGGGTAACTTGTGTACACCACATAGCTGTGTAAGTTGCCATTTACAAATGTCATGTTTATTGCTAAACTATTTCAAGCTTATTAAAATATGAGCTTCCTCTAAGTCCTTTATTTGGGCTCCTCCCTGTCTTGAGACCTCTGTGCTTCTCTGTGCTTGTGGAGGTGTCTCTGTTGGGCTGATATCCCCTGGGAAGGGCCTGGAAGCAGCAGGGACAGCAGTTTTGTCTATCTGGAGGTACGTGTGAGAGGTGTGCAGAAGAGTTTTTAGAGCGTAACCTAATATCTACATCCTTCTTTCTGAGGAAGTCATGTTATATGTTTTCGGAAGTTTTGAACACAATTAAACTGATTGCTGTTAAACACCTCCTCATCAATGTACTGTATCAACAGAAAACCTGATGGCTTCCAGGAAGAGATTTTTGTGGTTTCTCAAACACCTCCCGGCTTATGGTCCACAAAACCATTAATTTCATACTGCAGGTGGCAGTATGCATAGGGCGTAGACAGCACAGGGTTTGGGTGTCCTTCCCCTCCTTCAGTACACATCTCTGAGATGTGTATGCTACCACGGATCACAATTTTGTATTTGATTTATATTTTACCCTGTAAATACACTCATTAGTAAACTGTTCTTACAACCGCTCTTTAAGTGGCAGGGAACAGAGCTATTTAAATAAATTGCTTCTTTTTCTCTGGAGAAGCAGGACATAGCTCCTGGAATATATGGCTGTCCTGGATACTGTGTCACCATTTCCAGTCTTTTGACACCAGTCATCCTCCGCATGAGTATCTATCAGTCACGCAAGACATGCGTTTAGAAATGGAATGATTTCACCACGCTAAAATGAAAGGATAAGGCATGGGAAGCATGATCCCGCTTTTGGTTTTGTTTTCTAGAGCTCACTGCTCTCAGGAGAAGAGAAGCTGCCCGCACTCCGCGCTCCGCCGCGGCTGAGGCGCTGGGAACGTGAGGCGCGGAGCGGGCCGGGGGTGTCGGGCGGGGGTTTCGGGCGGGCTCCCGGCAGGGCCGGCCGGGCCGGGCTCGGCTCTAACCCGCTGGTCCGACCGAGGCCTGGCCGAGGTGGGGCGGGACGGGCTGTGCGCAGCTCCGGCGGCCGCGGAGAGAGCCCCGGGCAAGGCGGAGCCGGCCAGCAGCCGGCGGCCGCAGCCTGTGGCGGTGCGCGCCGACCGCGGCCCGCCGTGAGGGGAGCGCGGCGCCCGAGCCTGCCCGGGGCGCGCTCCCTGCCAGCGCTGCTGTCCTTGGGATGCCCGGAGGCAGGCGGCGCTGAGACGGGCGTCTGGGAAATTGGTTGCACAACAGCTGAAAAAAACCCAAAACTCAAACTCCACCACCGCAGTACAGAGCTGGGCAGTAAAAATATATTTATATATACGAGTGTATATATATATATATAATTTTTTCATATATACGAATACCTATCTACCTATCTATACAGCGTATGTGTGTATAAACAACAAAATTAAACAACAAGAACTAAAAGAAACTCAACAAAACACAATGCCACCTGTCCTAGTCTCTTATTTGCTGCTAAAAATTTACATGGAAAATGCAACCCTGTGACCTCAAGGCAAGCGATGAAAAAGCAGAAGCTAATTTCCTGACATTGAAAGGTCACTACATTGAAAGCTGGCTGCTCTGATCTCACAGTACTTTAGAAATGTGTTTCAGTTTCTTTCTGTTGCATTTTTTTTTTTCTTCACAGAGACAATATAATTTGGCCTTTAGTTTTAATAGTTTTAAAAACTCTTAATAATTTTTAAAAGCAGCAAAAATGCCAGTGGAAATTAACATTTATCGGTCTCACCCACCCCCTCAATCTCCTAAGGTAGTTTCAGGTTGTTACAACCTAAATGTTACATTCAGCTATTTTATGGTTTCCACATTCATCTCACACATCAAGTAAAAACATTAACCTTTATCAGTCAGACAAATGATTCCACATTACGTGGTTTTTCTTCCATGACAGATACTGTGAGCAGGCTGTCAAGTGGAAAGAAGAAAACAGTGAAAATTTTTTAGAGTTCTCATTTTACAGTATTTTAACTTCTCTGAGATTTTCAACCATTTTCTGATGTATGTGAAGACAACTTAAGAGAATGAGTTTACACTGAAACATATGTTTACATTTGTATTTTGTGCTGTTGACCTGGTTCTCCCACTACAGTCTACAAGTTAATGTGAGTACATCCTTTTGCTTCTAACACTTGAGGGGGCAGGGGGGGTTCTGTATCCTTAATTGACTTCGAGAATGAAAGAAAATTAAAATTAAAAAAATTAAAAAGACAGTGCTCTCTGTTTTTTGCTAACATAGTACATAGGATTAAGAACTCTTTTTTCACTGCACTGTAGCAAGGCAAGGCCCTTCATTTTGTCCAGATTTTGGGAGGAGAATACTTGTCTTTACAAGAGGAGGGTAGGAAATGCTTTTCCTGTTATTCCTACATTATTCCTATTCCTATGACCTTTATGGACATGAAAAAATTGTGTAGAAAGTTCTAGTTGTTTTTCGCAGCTTTTTGGCATGGCTTGAGATTAATAATCTAGGGACCCTGAGTTTGTGTAGATGGGTGACCACTTGTAATTGGTGTTCCAAGGACTAGTGCTCACACATAGCTTTCATTGGATTACATGTTTCTTAAAATGCCCATGGTATTTTTATGTTCTAATTTTTGCAGCATTTATGTCTTTGGTTATAGTGAACCACAGTTAGCAATACAGAATTTTCCCTGCTGGGGAACTTTCAATAATGGGGGAGTTTCCTAAAGAAGTAGATGTAGTTACATCAACATTTAAGTTGTCACATGAAGTCTTTTGACAAATAGTTTTTTTTTTCCTGTCTTTATCATTTGATTGTGGCAGAAACATGCAGCAGCAGAACCGAGGAGCAATTTGCACAGTGAATATACTTCACTTTTAAAAAACTGCCACAGATGTTGGAAGCTGGCAGGAGGACAGAAGGGGGATTGTGGTAGGTTCTGTAAGAAAAACAGCAAGCAGATAGCTTTAGTAAAGGACTTTGACTGATGTCAAGGTCTCAGACTGACCCAGAGGATTCTTCTGCTTAGGGCAAAACAGGAGAAGGTTCTATAATGGTTATTGGTTTTCTTTTTGCATGTGCACCTGGATTTGATCTGGACCTACATTTTTTTCCCTCTGGAAGTGAAAAATTGAATACAGCAGCAAACTTTCTTAGTCTTGAGGAAATTTGTAAGTAATAGTCATACTTCTTTTCTGTATTGTAAAGCTTGTTTTCCTCTACAGTGGGAGAAATTGTGGGGGAAATGCTTATAAATTGCAGTGGGGAAATGCTAATAAATTTCAGCAATTGCAGGACATAAACATGGGTCTTGGGACTATAAAAGCTAACTTGTTGTCCTCTGTCTTCCCGGAGTTAATCAGAACTCCTCTCCTGGAGATCATGCCAACGCTTAGTTTTCCTGTCAATAAGGTGGATAGGGGTTGCAGGCAGGAGTATGGGTATCTTTCAGTATCCTGACTGTAGTGCACATACTGCTTGTTTCAAGCAGTGTACTAGTTCAAGCAGTCTGCTTTGTTATGAGCAGTTTACAGCCTCTATTTAAAAAAAAATGGAAAGTATTTTGAGTCAATGTGCTGCAACTCTGATCTTTCTGATAGGAGGAGTGCACAAGACCCTGTCAGTCTCAGCAGCAGGCTTGTCTACAGAATAAGTGTGATTATGGCACATTTGTGTGTTGGGTATACCTCTATCCTGTTTGAAAAGCTTTACTTTGGAGCTTAGTTGGTGGAGCTTGTTACTATAGCAGGGGAATCATGATGGAGGCATTCTGATGCATATGTGCTCAGGGAAGCTCTTGCAGACCCACAGGATTGGGCTGCAATTTTCTAGTGCTTTCAAGAACATTGCTTGTGGCTAAGGAATAAGTCTGGTACCTAATCATTTTATTAAGCCTAGGATTTATCAATTAATCAGATCTTCCACCCTGAAAATCTTTGTATTTTTCCTGCACCTGTTTTCAGACCATGCTTACATTGTTAACAGTGCAGTTGATTACTTTCCTTTCTCAGCTCCATATGCATTGCTTGCTGCAAATCAGCTGTTGGGATCAGGCAGCAACAATCTGAGGAAAAGAAGTAGCTTGAATTAAATTATTAGAAGCAGTCTAGTTCCCTTTGGCCACAGCACTGTAAGGGCACATGTATTATATGAATTCAAGACAAAATTATTTTTTCACTATAATCTTAAAGTTGACAATCAGAGAAAGAAAGATGAAACATAAAAATGGTGAAGAATGGCAGTCAAGATAGAATTTCATCATTTAGAAAGTGTTATGAGCATTACAGTTGTCTAATTTCTTATACAGATTCTGAAACTACCACTAGAAAACAGCTAAAGGCAATTCTTCCTTATTTTGGTGGATGTTTGGGGTGCCAAAATTAGAAAAAAAAAATTCCATTTTCTGTATTTATGACTTAAAATACAGACTTACCAAAATCAGTGGGTGTGTGAAGATTAAATGTAAGAGTTGATATTAAGCATTTTAAAATGTTAAAATGTTGTGTCGCACTGTAAAACGTATGTCAGAAAAAAGGGAAAAACTTCTGACAGAAAAATGAAATTACTTTTGTACTTAGAGGTAAAGCAGCATAAATTCAAGGCAATTGATTCTGCTTGTAGATTAACTGGCTTTGTCACTGTTTTACAAAGGCACTATTGTGTGAGTGGTTGATTCATAGTTGTTATTGCATAAATATGAGTTATGAGATGAACTACTGCATGAATTGTTTTCACAATATATGTAACTTTGTGATCTTTCTAGTATGTACTGTGGGACCAGGGTAAAAAAGCAGGGTGTATTCACAGTATGTTAAAATAAAGCAAACAGGTGGGGAAGAACTAAAGTTCTATTTCTTGCACTGACTGAGTGTAGAAAACTCTTTCATTCTCCTAATGGGAGCAACATTTCCTGTTATAGTTAGGGGTACAACTGGGTATTTGTGAGTACTTATTCATTAATCAACAGATAATGATAAAGCATCTATTTAGCCATAGTCAAGAACAGATATTTAAAGCAAATAAAGTAAGATGTTTTTCCTGGAAACAGCCATGCAGAAGATTTCTGCCTGATTTTCTACTGGGTGAAGTTTTGTCCTGTTTTTAAATAGGGTGGAATTCAGCGTCTCCTGTCAGTTCTCTGTGTGGATTGACTATAAAGTGTATTTGATAGTGCAGCTCAGAAAATGAGTATGTATTTATATTTATCTATTTTTTATCATTTTAGGTTCCATCTACATCATGGGAAGGTCTTTGTTTCTGTATGTATTTTTATTCTACTGGCATTTCCTAAATGGTAAGAAGACATAAAATTCAGGAGAACTGTTTTAGTATGTTTTCTTTCCATGTATAAGCATAGAAATATTAATTTCTCCAGTTTTCCTTCAGCTGCTAGCATTTGAGCTTTTTTCCTTAATGTTTTAAGAGAAAAGGTCTAAGCTTTACATTAGTGGCTTTATATTAAACTAGATGCCTGTATTTTGATATGGGGCCAGGGTAAAGTCCCCGTCAGTGGTCTAGCAGAGGCACCATTTCAAACAAGGTACCATTACACCAAAGGTTTTCTAGGCTCTATCAAAACTGGGAAATGTTGTGTATTCTTTAACATTGTGGGTAAAAAACAATTGGCATTTACATAAACAGGATATTCCCATTGAAGGCACTAATACTTACCTGTTACAAGAGCAGAGTTCTCAAAGCAACAGCTGAGGGGCTGTGCATATACAGCTCACAGTTTTCAGTACAGCATCACACTGTGTGTGCACAAAGCAGGTGTCTGCAGATATGAGCACCCATTGTGTGTGTATACAGCTTGTCACACACTTGGACAACTACAGACCAAAATGTTTAACTTTTCAGAACAGAGCAGATACTTTGGTCCTTAAAATTTCCTATGGATATGGTAAGACATGACTTCAAAGATTAGGTGTATTATTGAAAAATTAAGTTTTCTTCCAAATTTTGTTTTTCAGCTTTATTCACTGTTGAAGCTCCTCAGTCACTCTGCATTGTGGAACGTGGGAACAATGTAACCATGGAATGCACATTTCCAGTGAATGGGAAATTAGAGTTTAGAGATTTAAGTGTCAGCTGGGAAAAGAAAGATGAGTTGAAGCAGGTTTATGTACTTCACAAAGGAGAGGAAGACTTCAAAAGTCAGCACATTGACTTTAGGGGAAGAATAAAATTGTTGAAAGAGAATCTGAACTTGGGACAGTCTCTCCTTCAGATCACTGATGTGAAGCTCAGAGATGCAGGAGTTTACCGCTGTGTTATTGCCTATGGGGGAGCTGACTACAAGACAATCCATCTGAAAGTTAAAGGTGTGTGTGCTACTACCAGAGGTTCAATACTCTGATACTCTTAGAAGATTTCAAAGGAGATCGTGAAGTAAAACATATCTGTATCAGCAGTTAAAGAAACCTCATTGGAGACAGGAGCTATCCAATGGTGCTTGCGCAGCTGTGTAACTTGGCACTTCTGTTTAGGTTGAATCTGTGTTCTGTCCTTTAAATCCCCTATGACATGTAAGGACTCAGGCTGCAAAATCACATAGAGAGTACAAAGACCATAAAGCCGAGTGAGCTTTCTAAACCACATCAAAATTGTAATAAATCCTGTACCTCCAGTTACAGACTCAATAGTGTTACTTACTTTTCCTGTTAAAATCCAAGCTGAAACTTGACCCTGGGGGCTGGGGAAAAAGAAAAGGTGTCTTTCGTTTAATACAGGCTGTGTTTTTAGCTTCCTATTGGTAATGATTTTTTTTTTCCCCAATTGTTTAGCTCCTTACAGAATTATAAACCAAGGAATGGTGAGCACAGGACGCAATGAATGGAAGCTGACATGCCAGTCAGAAGGATATCCAAAAGCTGAAGTGATATGGCAGAATAGAAACTACGAAGATTTGACTGATAAGGCAAACACAAGGTTTGAAACTGCAAGTGACCAGTTGTACCGTGTGACAAGTACCCTTACAATCAAAAGTGGAATTGATGAGATTTTTTACTGTATATTCTGGAATAAAGAGCTGCAAGAAAATACAACTGCCATTCTACAAATAGCAGGTAACACTTCTAAATTTCATTTATGGTAATACACTTCAAGGCACTTCAAGGTGCTAATGTAATTTTGTCCCAGTCAAATCAGCTGTGATTTGTTTCTCTTTCCAAATTTTGAAGAGGCTAGAAAGAAAGACATACCTGTGTCATTAAGTTTTGTTATTAATGCATACTTTCACTATACTAACACGTTCATCATGCATGTATGGTCAGAATTTAAAGACTGGAATTTTGTGTGACCTGCAGGTATATGGAAATTGAGTTTAAATGTTTAAAAAGTTCTATTATTTGGAAGACATGCAACTCAGCACCTGGAAAGTAAAACCTTCCATCTTCCAAGAATATTCTATTTTGTTGATGATTACTGTCACATAAACTTGAACAATATAGTCTTTTCCTGCCACTACAGCTTTTGCTTTGAGCACATTTAAATCAAAGTAATTGTACACAGATTTTTTCCCTCATAAAGTCAGAACTGAAGAAAAACTCATAAATGCACAAGACTAATACAATTCCTAATTAAACCTTTTAACTAGGCAGCTCCTCTGCTGCTTTTGCTTTTGATTATTCTTTTCTGCATTGTAGCCTGATATGTTTCCAACCAAACTGGAGACCCAATCCAACTCAAAAATAGTATTTCTCTTTGTCACACTGTTACTTAGTGAGGTCATTTACCTTGTCCAGTTCACCACCTAGTTTTAAAAACAACTGTGCAGTCACACTTTTTGACAAGACAAGGGTTTGAAACAGGCAGGTTTAGAGTGAGAAAGCCAAGTAATTCTTTCGATGGGCAAGTTTGATTTTAACAAGAAAAATATCTGGGATTCAAGAACACCATTTACCCTTTGCATTTAGAGCAATCATTACCAGATGAAAGGAACTCTGTCCTCTTTCTCAATTACCTTTTTCCTGTAATACTGATGAGAAACTAAGCCAGATGTAACACTTTGACAAACAGAATTCTGATGTGATCAAAGGCTCTATCACATAGAATGCAGAGAACAAAGACAAATATAAATATGTTATATCTTTCCCCACCCTTATTTGAAAATAAGTGTTATGTGCACCATTAACACCTGTCCTTAGACACAATCTATTATGTTACCATGTCTTAATGGCTCATAACAAAAATAATACAGTGAAAAAGAAAGGCAAAAGGAGGATCTTATGCAATTATGTAATGTCTTATCCCCCACCTGTTTTTCTTGAAGATTCAACGGATGGCATTCTCCAGACTGAGAGCAGACGCTTTGTTGGAGCAACTCTCATTGCTACTGCTTTCGTTGGATCAGTGCTTGTATTTCTGCTCTGCATAAGAAAAGGTACGCAAATTATTTATTTTAGAATATCTCAGTTATTATCAATCTTCTCTGTTAATTCATGCTTGCTGAGTGGAATGAGACAGTTTTTTGCCACAGTTTATTTCTCTTTTTTTGCTTGACTTGCAACTAGCAAGTTGACAGAGTGAAACATGTTATCAACCCTTCACAAGCCCCATTTACCCATGCATGTCTGTTAATCTTTCTTATATGTAAGGATGTAAGCAGTAAGATTAGTGTCTAACCTATTGCAACATCAAAGCACTTATTTTTTACCTACTGGAAATTGGAAGTTCCTGTTCTGTGTCCTCTCTTTTGACTGGGGTCCAGAATGGTGGTAGCAGACAGGATACTGGAAGTTTTTAGTGGTTCTTTTTCTGCATTCTCTGAAAAATTTTACTGAACTGTAAGAGCACCTGTTTTTTAAAGCAAATATTTAATTGATTTCCTTACTAAGTTTTGAGTGAACTTTCTCAGTTCACTCAATTAATTAATACTTTTAGCATCACAGTATGTTGAAAAGCTAAAGCATTGGCAATAATTTGTTTTCACTTGCTAGTTAACAAAATAAAAACTTGAAGAGATAATCTGTAGGTTATCTGAGTATGAAAAATATCTAGTACCCAAAATAAAGGAAAAAAATGTTTTTAACTTGTTACTTAAACTAAAAGAAATACTGTTAATTTCTTTTTCTTTCATAGGTTGGGTGGGGGAGAGGGGCAGCTATGGAAACATCCTGAGAGAAGTACTCATAAGCTTAACAGGCTTGAAGGTGATTCTAACAGGCTGCAAGAGAACTGTAGATAATCCTGCAAGTATAAGAATATACTTGCCCTAAGAAGATAATAGGAGTAGGAGGAGAACATGAAAGTGGAAGAAGGGACAGCAAAATCCTTGACTGCTCAAAAGAATCCCTCTGGGGATTTCATTGAAGGTCAGAAGTTTCCTAGGTTGCCTGAGTAATATTTATTGTTTGTGTGTGTATGTGATAATGCACATCACATTAGCTTTCATATCTATCTATATATACACACATACACATGTGAGTGTGTGTGTTTGATAAACCATAAGTTGATTCAAAAGCTAAACTAGTGAATAGATTTTTATCTTAAACCCTAAGCTGTCCTGGGTTACCAGAAAAGAGACTTTTTCAGAACAGAATCTTCCCAGAATGTGAGCATTTTTTCTCTCAGAAAGTGCTGAGATGATCCCCTGTTCCCTGTTTTCTGATATGTTAAAATTCTGTGTGAAAAGAAGCAATGGGAAACCACTTGAACAAGTATTTTGCAGTGATGTTAGTGTATATTATCAATGGAGTTCTGGCTTAGAAACAAGAAAAGGAAGTTGGAAAGGAAACAAACAGACTGGGAGCACTAAAGAATTTATTTTGAAGTTTTTGAAGAAATTTAGTGTTTTGAGAACAAATGATTACAATATGCAATGTGTACCCCTCTCACCAATGTGTTTAGGCTTCTCATTAGGTCTAAAGCCAAGTATTCTGGGTGTTTTTTAAAAATTTTTTTCTCTTTGTTGTCTTTCAGCTAGAGCAAATAAGGGCAACAGAACATCTGTGGCGAGTCCATCAACAGCAAGTATGTACATATGACATAAATCTAGCAGAGTGTGATTCTTGTGGAAGTAATTGCTTGAAAATTAATTTTGTAGTGGTGACAACCAAATGGAGATTTAAATTCCATTTTGATTTTGCTTTCCACATTTCATTTACATAACAACTATAAATTACAATTGAAGAATAGCTTTTCATGACTGTGTCATCCTTTTGAAAGGAAAATGTTAAAGAAATGCATACTTGTTCCAGGAACTGATGCACTCCTGGTAAGCACAAGAAAAAGACAGAGCAGTATGCTGTGTTTTGGAAAATCTGCAATAGGATGGAACAGGCTCCCTGGAACATAATACCTCAGAATGGCATCACATCCTGATGTGCAAACATTTTGCTGCAATTTGAACTGCACTGGCAAATTCCTCTGTTTTCTCCAGTATCATAGCATGCATTTGAGATGCTTTGTCACAACATTTATGACAGAGTGTTTGGCCCTTTTGAGAGAAACTCAGGGAAACTTTAATTTCTGTGTTGTGATATTGATGCTATTTACTATGAGGAAAGCTCAGTGGAAGGCTAGGATCACCATGACAGGTGGTATTGAAGGAAATTAAGAAAAGAGCAAAGAGACTTAATATTTACAGCAGGAGAGAAAAATTAAAATCCTTTTGCTGCCTCTGAAGATGGTTACTGGCTGACTTATTTTTAATGTGTTATATGGGTATTTGGAGACCACCACAAATTAAATTGCTGTGTGAAAATTAGTTCATGCTGGCCATTGGGTTTTTTCCTAAGAACAACTCTTTTGAGAATACTTACCCAAACAGACACAGCATTTGGTGTTAATCTCATCTCTTGCTCTGCATTCAAGTCACTCTAGATCCTGAGCGGACTGAGGTAGCAGCTTCTAATACAAATTTATCACTATAGGAAAAGTTTACGCTATCCTCAGTGCTGCGTGTATGTATGTCCTTTGCTTACAGAGCTGTCAAAAGATAAGGATACACATGACTACGGAGATGCTTCTTCTGAAGATAGAGAGCTGAAATGTAAGTATAAATGACAAAGGAAAAATTGGTAGTCAATTGTACACAGCATAAACCATCCCTGGTCACTGGAGCATTGATTCAAGGCTGGTTTATAGACTCTTGTTTCAACAGACAGAGCCTTCAAGAGCTAATACAGCCTCCCTCCCATTCTGTGTTGTACAAACTCACCATCATAACTCATTGTGTACTGTTTATTACATCAGATAATGAATCTGGTTTTTAAAATAGAAAGTAAAGATATACAGAGGAAAATGTGATGTGGAGATATATAAAAATCCAAACCAGTTGCTTTTTCCATCTTCTACTTTTACTATAGAAGTAATTGTTCATGCATATCTGTAAGGGTGGTGATGGCAATGAGGGAGGGGACAGGAACCTGTCACAGCCACTTGACCAGGTCTCAAGCTGTGTGATTCTGTCTCAACAAAGCAAGAAAATACATGATTAAATATCTCAAATCTATGAAACATTCTATGGTGTAGAACAGAAGGGTGAAATTACTGAAGTTTTTCTCTCACTTTCTTGCTGACTTCTAAAGCACTTGCATTAATTGCATCCCAAATTCCTCCCTGGTACACTTTACTACAGTAAACTTACAGGTAAGCCTGCTGGTCCTGCAGGTGTTGATCACCAAGCCAAAAAGTTAGGACCTGGGCATATACCACTGGGAATACAGACAGAGGGAGCACTAAATGTACTTGAAATTATTTTAAAATGTTTTAAAAGAAAGGGGGACCTAAGCAACAGCAATCTCACTGTATTTGCTATAGAGCTCTTCCCAACAGTATGTTTGAACTACCACTTTTATTTCCTACCATGATCTTTTTCCTGTTTAATCTGTTAATTAATTTAATTTTAGATCTTTAATTTTGATGATCAAGGAAACTTTTTGGTACATTCAAACTCTAGGAAAGGGGTGCAAAGCTATGAAGTGTTCTGTGCCTTCATAATTTTGTAATTTGATAATTTTTTCATATAATTCTTCCTGTTACAGATATGCATATTGAGAAGACCTAGAGAGACCAGGGGAAGACTTTTTCCCTCTATTGTGAAGATTTGACAGCTCAGATGTTCTGTGTTCAATCTATTGAAGGGGATATTAATTTTTGGTATTTATTTTGCGATGGCAATCTTCTATATTGTTGTAATATAGGAAAAAATGTAATGAAGTTAAAATAATTATTATAGAATAAAAAATTATTGAATGCAAGAGTCCATATATGTGACTAGATATTGAGGTATTTATTTAAATATCAAACTTTCTACCTTCTCAGGTTTAGGCAAATGTGTATTTCAAAGATTTCATTTAATTGAGTGTACCTTTCAGGTAAAGCATTTTAGTTCTATGACCATCGTGCATTTCATAGCTCTTGATAGGTCATCTTCTGAAACTTCTTTTCTTACTTCTTCACCTGAACTCTCAATTTCCTGCACATAAATGGTTTTCCATAGTTTAAGGAATATTTTAAATAGGTGATCCTTATAAAAGGTGCAACAAGACAAGTTGCCATACATGCAGGACATTTTCCATCCTTAAAATGCTAGATGCTCACAGCTAAGCCTGAAAAAAGATGATTTGAAGCTCTTGGCAACTATGGTTTGGAAATTAAATAATACTAAGCTTTTTGATATCTTTCTTTATAAAGCATTTTGGGCATTTAATTTCCTCATTATATTGCTGGCACTACTGGGTTGCTGCTCACTATCTTCTGATTTTGCAGTCTGTGGATAATACAATTATTTTGACATTTAGGAAAAACAGTCCTTGCTTTAGATGACCATTTTGTTTTCTTGGGAATGGAAAAAGGAAAATCTACTTACTTCTAGGACATTAAATACATGCACATGTGATTACACAGAAATGTTGAAGAAACCTGTTCCTGGATCCTATTTAACAAGTTATTGTTATGCTACATTTTGCTAAATGCATAGCTTTTTTGGGGGATCATACACAGGTGAAAAAAGATTATTGCAATGGTATTCACAATTGTATTTTAAAAATATAACACATTTTGTTTTTCTTGTGGTTTTTTCCTGCTTTCCTTAACCTGTCAGCAAGTAGTGTAAGCTCTATTTGCATATTTCTGAGAAAAAACAGTATTAAAGATTTAGGTGTAGGAGAGAGTCTACAGCCATGACCTCCCTCTAATGTCTCCCACAAAGAACAGATGGCAGAAAACTGGAATCTCATTGGACTCAGGTTTTATTTTTCATTAGAAAGGAAATAATTTATTGTGCAGTCCCAAGAAGTTGACACAGAAATTGACACAGTCCATGTAAGGTTGTGTTTAATAATCTCAGAAAGCTGTTCAATGTAGTAGAATCATAATGGGGTTGGCCAACCACAGTTATGTAAAATAGTTACTACAGTAATTTCCCTGATTCATTGCAGACCTTGTGTATTCTTGTGATAAATGAATATGATTTGTGCTAAAAATTGTAACTATATAGATATTTTAGAAAATACTTGTTAAAAAGTAATAGAGGAAAACGACATGTAATTAGTGTCATGAAACAGATGTTCTCAGATGTTCATGAGAAAATAGGATGCAGGATGTAGTTTGAGATAAGTAAAATCCCAAAATGGAACGGGCCTCAGATACTTAAAGAGTCAGCTTTGAAACGGACAAAATTGGGATGATTCCAGGTATCTATGAAATAATAAGGCTTATTTTTGGAATATAATTCTGGCTTTATAACACAAGACATGGGGTGCATGTGCAGCCTGTGGGGTTGTTCAAAGGACAGTGAGGACAATGAGAAGCCTTCGTCGGAAGCGACCACCGAAAAGGCAAGAAGACCCTTAGGAACAGGTATATAGCATGTGCTATGCCGTGTAGTGACATAGATGTTGAGAATAGAAAATAGGAGGAGATTTACAGATAATATCTAAGAACATGTATTAGCATACACCATATAAGAAATGGGATTTCTTTTGTTTTTGTGCATAAGGCAGGGTGACAAAAACCCTCCCTGTACCCTGATCTATCTGTTTTTATTATGATCTATCAAAACCACTGCCAAATTTCTTTTTGTATCTGTTTGATTATATTTTATTTTATCTCTTTGATTATATTTTATTATATATATATATATATACACATATATATACACACATATATATATATATATATATATATATATATATATATATATATACACACACATATATATATATATATATAATCTGTTTGATTATTATTTTATATTAAATTGCTGCTCAATTAAAATTGCTGCTAAATTTTAATTTTGTGGTTTATTACATTAGACATATAGGACCTAATTCATAACATTCTGATACTGATTCTTCCCATTTGGCTCTTCAAGGTTACTATGTGAACTTGAATATTTCCTCCTGCTTCTCAACATAGTTTTTGAATCTGGGTGTCATTGGAGGTGATAGCTAAATTTTAATTATCTAGAGAGGGTTTTGAAATATCAGGGTCATTTGTAGACAAAGTACTGACTCAGCACAAACATATAGAATCATATCACCACATAAATAATTCCCTTTCCAGACAAGATGACCTTTTCACTTTCTACTTCCTGTTTGATACTAGAAAAGTTGTGTTCATATTATAGTAAAAGTGATGAAGTCTCTTGTTAGTTCTTATAAGCAAGTTCTTATAAGCAAGGCAGTGCTTGCTTAGTGTTATGGAACTGAAGTCAATGTCTTTATCAAAATCTACTGAATAGCAGGAACTGTTATATTTCTCCTTTTCCAGTAGAAGAAAGGGCAAGTTACTATTGAAAGGGCTGTATATCAGATGAGTAAGATAATGAAATGAGGGAATAAAACCAGAAATTCTTTAGCTGAACCCTAACTTCTTAAATGACAGTGCTTGAATTCCTGAGTGGTTGATGGGAAGCATAAAATTTTGCTACTTCCTTAGAAAAGCAGGACATGTGGTGATTAACAAAATAAGCTCTCTTCTATACTTCTTAGAAATACAAAGCTGAACTTGTCTAATCTTATTTTAGAAATCAAGCTTTTAGTATAATTTAAGTTTTGTGGTTTCACTTTTATGAATACAGGGAGACAGGCCCACATGTTTATCCTTCAATGCCATGAGTGATTTCAGGTCAAGTATTTTCCACTCATTACAGAGGGAGAATATACACCAAAGTGAAAATACAACAAATTTAATTCATGAGAACTAGCTAAGTGGAGATCCTTTCTATCCTAACACAGAAAAGGTAGTTAAGCGCTATATGTGTAATAACATTTCCTTCCATTTAAAACATTTGCACGATGCTTCAGTGTTTTCGGGTATCTGGAAGACAAGCAGCAAGCAGGAGGAAACTTAGTTTCAGTAAGCTGCATTTTACTTCTTAGTAGCTAAGCATTATTAGATTTCCAAAAGTGCTCAGAAAAGCTTGGTTCATGTGCACAGTCAAAACTGGCCTATTGGTATTTCAGTTCAGGACTTATTTTACAAATGTAACTATGAACCAGTGTAATGGCCTACTTTGTGATGTGGCATTTAATTTTGTAGAATCTGAAAGCTATGAATAATTACAATTCCAATAAAAATATAATAATATGAAAAACAGAATCATCTTATTGACCTGCACACCTTTTCATGGAGCAGAACTGCAGGACTTTTGACTGTGTCCCTTTTCCCCTTTGTCTAAAAAAGTACCAATGGTGCATCATTCAAGCACGGGCTAGCCAGGAAAGCAACAGAGGTATTAACAGTGAAATTTCTGCTTTTGCAGACATTAACAGTAGGACTTCTGTTTTTTCAGCATATTGTCCCAGATTCCCTGTCTCTCTCTCTCCATATTTCTCTGGCTCTGCAAATACAAGATTGTCCCAGGCAAGTCAGATACTACTGGGTTCATGTGATGCCCAAGGCAAGTCACTGATTCTTGGGCAATTTCACTGCACTATCTCCTTGTTTGAATATGGGAACACAAGAAGAAAACATACTGCAGGCAGGGTAGCTCAGAATGAGTAGAAGATAGTGATGGTGGTTGTGAAGTAATTTTGTTGTTTCTTTTCTGTCATCCTAATAATTGACTTCTGCCAAAGAAGTCCTGGGAGCTTTTTTGGGAAAAGGTGAGACTACACATTAATTACTTTGTGTGACAGGGCTACACATGATAAGTTTACTGAGGAAAAATAAATGTAACAGTGGTTTTGTTGAACTAGTTTGCTCTGTAGTAGGCAGCAGGAGACATAATTTCATAAATCAGTCTGGAACTGTGAGGCAGGCAATCATCATATATCATTCTAAACCAGCTAGGATTTCCAAGAGTAAAGCCACAATATTTTTTTCTGTTGAGGTAGAACATGATACTCACAAGCAGTGAGAATCTAATAGGAGACCAAAGCGTATGTGTGTCCCACTTGTAGCACAAACACATCTGTGTCTCTTTTATGTCTCTCACTCATTATATCATCATAAATTAAAAAAAGTGATGAAAAATTAAAAGATACATCCATTGATAATGCTGTTTGATAGAACAAAATACTTATTGGACAGGGATCTATCAGTCGCCTAATCCAATCTTCCACTCAAAGCAGTGACATCTTAAAAACAATTGCCCAGGCTTTGTTCTGTAAAGTTTGGTGCATTTGTAAGCATGGAGATTCACAACCTCACTGATTAGCCTCATAGTGACTTTTTTTTTTTTTATCAACTTAGATGAAAATTAAGAGGAAATAGGTTCTGCAAATATTAGGTCATTGCTTCATGAATTCTTGTAAAATTAATCTGGTGAAGGTAAGAAAACGTAACTTACAGTCCTAGTAAATGCAAGTTCAGATGCCAGTGCTGTACAGGTCTTTAAATGGTTATAAACCCACTGAAAATCATTAATATAATCAAAAGCAGTATTTGAGCACATAAATTTTGCAAATTATGAGAAGAATGCTTTGTATAATTTTGTTGGATGTGTGCACATTCTCAGGAATGAGATCAGTGTACATTCAGCATGAAACTGAAACTAACAACGTCCTGAGAAATGCCCTTTCAACATAGTCAGGTTTACTTATGACATAAAACCTGAATCAGATCAGCCTACAAGCTGCGCTATTGGTGCATGTTATACACTGTCATAAGAGCTGGGTAGTTCCTGTTATTGTGCAAATAGGATAGAGTTTTGAGAATCTTTGCTGTTACACGAACCAGATTGCAATGACCTGCATAAAGAGCTGATGTGAGTATTACACTAATAAAATGCAAATTGATGTTTCCTGTATTTCTGGCTGGTGGATTGCAGGTTTTTCCTAGATTAAGATTTACTTAACTTTATTTTCAAATTATTACTGGGATACAGACTGTGATTTTGAAAGACTGGATAAGTTCCAGATCCTAATACATGGGTCCATATAATTTCTAACCCTGATATTTTTAGAAGCTGATTATTTCATTTCTCTCCTAGGCAAAGGCAGGGGAGTGGTGCTGGTAAGCCTCTTCAGCTTATGCATGAGGATGCAGCTCTTAGTAAATATTTCATCCTGAATTTCAGGGAGGATTTGAATGGAGAAAAAAACCTCTGCATGTACTTGTATCTATATATTCCTGTTTACTTTCTTTTAGTTGTTACTAACACACTACCTGCAGACAATAGGTTATTTTGATTGTACAGCTAGTCTAGAGACTTCCATCTTCTGCATTCCAGAAAAAGCATAGGCTATGAAGAGGAGAAGTACTTGTACTTCTCTAAGAAGTCTTTCTTGCTGTAGAAGCTGGAGATATGAAAGAAAATTTACAGTGTGTCAGTCTGTATTCAGTAATGCTGCTAAGAGCAGAAAGGATCTGAAAGATTCTATGATATATACACAACTGCTTTTTAAATGTAACAAAATTTCACCCCAGTTCTATCTTAGTATTATAGAAAAAAAATTCAGCCATATTCGAATGGTTGTATTTGTCACGGAACAAAAAATTGACAGTGGAAAATATTCAACAGGTGACAGTTAAAGAATGCAGGGAAATTCACAGATAGTGTGATCAAAGGAGGAAGTGAGAAATTACATTTCTTCATCTGAAGGCTGAAGGGAGATGGAGAGCAGACTGAAATGATGCAAATAGGCTGTCACAGGTAAACATCAAGAATAAATGAATCATCCCAACAATAAATTGCCTGTGTGGTGCGGTGGGCAAAAAGGGACTGCAACAAGTGTGGAAAAAGACAGAAGAACAGCAGGTGAGATGGTATTTGGGTAAGGTGGATGTGAGAGAATGAGAACAAGAGATTATGTCCACAAAATATACAGAGACAGGCTGGAGAAATGGCCTTCAAACAAATTTTAATATGCATGGTTAGAATTTTTTATTAAATCCCTGAAATAGAAAAAAAAAGTACCTTCCTTCTGATGGTGAGATATGCAAAAGCTGCTGTTTCTGTAAGGATCTAATGCTTGGTTTTTATTTATTCTTTTCTTATTTTTCTGACCTGGGATTTTTAAACTTTTTTCTCTAAATTTTTTGTTTGTTTCTTTTTTTAAACTGGATCCTTCATAGAAAGTAAAATCAGTTTAGCTATTTCATGAAGATGTCAAAAAGTTTTGTCTTTTTGCACATGTGAGAGTGTTAGAAGAAAGCTGTTGCAAAATGCATGGAAGGCAGGGGAGTTTCAGTAACAGAAAAAGACAAAATAAACGGTGACTAGGACCATATGATCTTTTGCTGTGTTCATAGGTGCACAAGAAGATAGTCTTTTTTCTAACTAAGTGAGCATAAAACTAATTTCATTTCATGCAGGGAGAGTTAAATGGAGCCAAGTCAGATGCCTGTTAACACAGCCTGATTGCTTCTGATTAAATATGAATTTGTAATTTTGGATTATTTCCAGAAGGCACTGTCCTGTGCTTAGTTTGGGTTCTAGCTTTGCAGTAAATAAGACAGAGAGTGTAGAAGGAGAGGGATTAGGAAAAGCATAGTTATTAGGAAAACATAGCTGATCTCAGCTCAGTAATATTGCATAGTCTGTCAGCTGCATAGCACAAACATGGAATGCAGGAGTGAATAGATCAGTTGCAATGTTGGTATTTCAAATCCATAACAAAGTCTACCAGCTCAAGATGTCTCAGGATGCAAGACCACTTGCAAACCCTTGTTTGCAGAAGTGTACCGGACAGTTTGTGTGGAGGTGAACACATACCAAGTGGTCAGCCTGGTGACATTTCCATCCTCCCAGCTCTCAGCTGTGGAGTTCAATGTCCCCACTTCCTTCTACATTGTAAGAACACCTGGGTTATACCTGGTAAAACCAAGCAGGATCACATAGTAAGTGCTGCCAATGGGATACCTTTCTCTGCAGGGAAATACAATTCAAAGAAGTGTCTGTCTAACATAGCAATTTAACTTAAAAAGGACTGAGTCCTTAAAAAGGACTAAGCCCTTCCTTAGTCCTTTAATACTTTGATATTCCAGAGTGAAATCTGAGAGATTATTGTAAACTTCTGTTGATTTGACTCCTGCTTTAAGCCTGGAGGAAAGCTAGTGTGCTTGAAAGCTTGTTTAGCTTTTCCAACTGTTCTGATTATTCTAGTGGAAGTTATGGGTCTACAAAGCTCTCCTTGCTTAATGCTGCTAAATTTCATTATGCAGACACTAAATGTGTTTACTGTTCTAAATTATCCATTTGCTGGAAAGCAAATATTTTAATAGCTGAAACAATGTTTCCAGAAAAAAGTTTTCCATTATTTATTATACTATAAAGTCCCTGAATCAGTGACTGTGCCTCTGGTTGTTCTTTTTAGTGAACAGCACAAATACTTTGTTCAGGATCATTTGTTAAACTTGTGTTGAGAATAATTATAGAACTACAGAATCATAGAATGATTGAGTTTGAAGGAATGTTTAAAGGTGATCAATTCCAACCCCCTGCCATGTGTAGGAGCAATTATAACAAGGATACTAATCAAAGGTAGCTCCAGATGATCTTAAACTAAGATGCTTCTTTGATTAAGAAAAGCATTATGAACTTTCATGGATGAAAAGAATAGGATTTAATTTACATTACCCAGATGTGGGTTTCAGTCTTTTTTACAAAGGAGTAGATTGCAAAATATTCTGTGATCTTCATGTTTCTTTGCTTAAAATACTTCTTGTAAACTTGACATTATGAATATTGTGAGAGTTGTCACTAATGCCAAATCAATTCTAACTCTTATGACCAGACTGGTGCCAACCTCAGTTGTCAGGAATGGCAATGTGGTGAAAACACACATGAGTGTTTTATGAAAATAGGATCCAGTAATAATAATAAACACATACCACAGAGGACTATACAAAGCACAGCTACTTAAATGAGCTACCCAAGCTTTTCCTCAAGGGCTCCAAAGTTTAGGCATGTAGCATATTGATGTTCATATTTTGCCACCTGTTTCAGTTCCTAAAGCATCCTTATAACATCCAGCTTTGTCAAGATAAGCATCTTTTCCCTTCTGTCTGTAGAATGGAATGAAGTCTATACATTATGTTGAAAACTGAATTATATTGTTGTATGGAACATAGAGCTTGTGCCATTTGAAATGGGAATACTGAGTCTAGATTTTCCAAAGGAAAAAGAAATATCCTTCTCACTTCTTACAGAAGGATTTTGGACAATCACTAAAGATTTCAGATGACATAAGGCAAAAAATTACTCTTTTTTTTTTAGACAAGTGTTATAAACCTTCTGGATAAGTGAGCTGGGACCAGGACTAAAGTCACAGGCATGATCAACTGAATGAATCAATAGGAGAAAAAAAAACTTAGTATCATTTTCATCTTCGGTGGAATTTCAGCAATTTATTATCATTGTCATCTGGATTTCAGTCAGCATTCACTATGAAAATTTATCAGAATGTTACTTGTGGCCCAATGAAGTCAAGTATGGGTTTCAACTTTGTATTTTCAGTAAAGAAAAAAATCTGTAATAAGAAAATATTATATTCCTCATCTTCCCTGATCATTGTAATACTTTTATTTTCAATGGTCCCATTCAAATTTTTGTCTTGGGCCCTAAATATTCATTGAAATTATTACAATTCATAAAAAGCCATGATGATCTTTAGATGTTTGATGTGATGCTTTTTACCACCTCAATTATCCAAGTTTTTTTCGAGTTAACTCCACAATCACAGAGCACTGTGTGATAACTTGCTTTTTCTTCTGCAGGTTTGTTTGGGAAATCAATTTACTGACTCCATCTGAATTGCTCTTGAAATGTCATGCTACTTCTTACTGTTCTCAGATGTATATTTTCAATTCCTCACTTTGCAGCACAGAAGCATTAAGTACTGATTTTTATGGCACAGTGTTCCTTCTTTCATCCCTGTGAATTTGTAACAGGCATATCATTACATTTTAGTAGTGGCCTTTTGCTTAACAGAAAAATAAAAGACAGTGCTGTGCATAAGCTTGGGATAAGTTAGGATAGCTGTGTACAAGGACTACTGAAGAGCAGGACATGACATACATTTTATGAAAAGCAGGGAGAACATGAGGGTTAGTCTGCAGCATCATGAATGGTTAGTAATGCAAGCTCAGAAGAAATCATCTTTCAGATGCTGGTGGAGGCTTTTCTATGGAAGTGTCAGAGCCACATGATGAAGTTGCATGGGTAAATTGCACTGAGATTGCACAACAACTTGATGTCTGCTTGTGAGATTATGGAAATAAAGAAGGATGCCTCCTAACACAGATCCTTGCTGACAAATCCTTGATCTTTCTAATATACATCTATGCTAATAAATCTTCGATCTTTCTAATACAGATCCTTCCTGCTTCCCACAAGCGTTCTATGACTGCTTTCAGTATCACAAGTTAAAATGTTCTTATATTTGGTTTCTTTTGCGTATTTATATTATGTGTAATGCTTTTCTAAAACGAATCCCTCCGGTCACACAAGATTCACTTGATATGTAATAATTATGATTATCTGCTGGAGCTTTGATTGTGTATCCTTTTATTTTACTATCAGTAATATGTGTATTTTTAAAAATTATACCTCCTACATTAAAAAAATAAACATGCTCTGCATTCTTAATGTACTCTAAACTATAAAAATAGAGCAGAATACCTAAAATGTCTCACATGAGGTTAACCCAGGGATCTAAATATTGATGTGAAATATTGTTTCATTCTTCATTCAGTTCTTTCTTATGTCCATCTTCTAATAGGTAAGCTGTGTGGAGAAGTGAGCATAGCAGGAGACTGAGGATGGAAAATAGTAACAGTCTTTACTTCTGCATCTGGAAAAAAATATACTGATAGTGTTTATTAGCTCCTTTCTCACACAGGCATAATAATTATGATTCATCACACATTAAGTAGTGATGGACTCAGTCCTCTGATAAAGGTAACTAGCTTTCATTTATATGTAATAAATCTGCTTTGAGTAGTTTGCATATAAAACTTTATTTGTGATATCATATGATTAAGGTCTAAATTTCCAGAAAAAGTCCCATAATTTTGGCTGCTAATTTCCTAAGGTTTGAGCCTCACTTTCCAGGATACTGAAAGCTCTAGGGTAGAAGCAAGGAGAGAAATGCAGCACCTGAGAAAACTGGAACCAGAGTGTTTCAAGCTAAGCCAACAAAAGAATAGGGAAGTAAAATTAAACCCCTTCTCCAGTAAGTCTAGCTCTGGGGAAGTCTAAAATTGCTCCTTCTCTTCTTTACTTCCTTTTAGCTTATTTCTGGATCCTATTCACTATTTTTTTTCAGATTATACTGCATGTTAGTAAGCTTTACTGAAAGTAATTCTAGTGTCTTTTCTATTTTCTCATTAGTTTTGTTATAAATTTTTTCCCCTGGTGCTTCTTTGTTGGGTTTTTTCTCTTTTTAGTTATGTTTATCCATATACAATAGTGTGAAAAATATGTGATTGTTTGCTTGCTACTAGAACACAAATACACTTACTCTAAAACTGTACTTTCTCCTTTTGTATTATTCCAGGGCTGTTGGTTTACTATCAGTAATATAAGTCAATTTGTTCACGTCAGACATTGCCATATGTAAAGTGAAAGAATAGCAGCAGTAAGTCTTCATTCTAATCCCTTTTGAACCAAACCTCAGTTTACCCATCCTGAGATTTCCACTGCCTCACAATGTGTTCCAGGTATTTCCTGGTCTTTAGGTTTAAGGCAATAAGAAACTGCAAAATACCCCATGCAAAGCAAAGCTGAAACAAAAGCAGGGTTAAAAGTCTTGTACACTAGATAATGTGTTAGGGCAGACATTTATAAAATCTGCTTGTGCTTGTTCATGAATCTCTCCAACATGGGAGAAGTCAATTGCAATTGATTATTATTTGTGGACAGTAAAAAATATAAAAGCATTTTCCTGTCAGACTATTTAAAACTGCCTGCAAGCTACAGATCCTAAAAATGTCATTACTGAAGTTATGGAAATGTTTTATTTCTCTTTATTGCTACTGTTTCATTGCCATTGGTTCATATTCTTTTTGTGTGCATGAGTTGCTCTAATAAGGATTTTCCTTGTTTCTGCTGGTAGCCTAGTGTTTGTTTCTGGTTTTGCTGTTTATGAGCTGTGATGGATTTCAAAGGCTGGCATGGCTCTGATCTGCCTCACCAGAAGGTAGTTCTTGCAAGTTCTAATGCAATTCTACTTTTATTTCAGATCTACCTTTTATTTCAGACAATGTTCCAAATCCAAATCACAATACTGTTACTGGAAACACAGCTCTCCATGGTTTCAGGTAAGAGAGAAACTGCCTTTCAGTTGCAGTAGCAGAACTAATGCAGCTTTTAGTATGTGGGCTTCAGCACCTCCAGCAACACTTGCATGAACAGTCAGTAATGTCTGGAGCCTCTGTTTTCCATCTTATAAAAGGCACTGGCATTGACTGAGCACAGGACAGGTGTCCACCACTTTCCAGAGTCAGGCTTCTTTACCATGTTGTGTGTTGTCAGCTGAGGTGTCCAGCATCAGTGGCATGGCTGTAAGAAGGAGGATGACCAAAACAACAAATGCCCACAGGGAAGCGTAACAATCTCAGTGTTTGATGGCATGAAATATAATCACTTCTCCTGTCCATGCCTGTAGCAGAATCAACTTGGCTAAAACCCAGGAGCTTGGTACTTTCTCACATAATTTTCTCCCTTGCTACAGTTGTATTACAGTGAATAAACAAACATTGCTAAGAGGAACCTAGCAATGCTAAGGTTTCCCTGTACATATTTCAGAGACATATATAATAAAAAGAATGCATAAACAGTTGCATGGTCTTCTCTTTGCAATGTCACTACCAACACTTCCAAATGCTCCTGAATTGTCTACCAATACATGGCACATCCAGTATGGAAAGTAGTAACAAAGTATATTGAATGATTTATTAGAAATAACTCTGCCATATCAAGTACACTTTAAAATGGCAAACTATTCATAACATTATTAATTTCAGATTGGGTGAATGGCTAAGATTATTTTGATATATTTTCTGTAATATGGTTGCATGTATCTGAGAAAATGTGTGAGATCAAATGATACTGATATGGTTCCAGGTTTGTGGAGACTGTAATTGCTACACAGCAATTTTAAGCTATACGTATTTATCCCGTGCAACTCTGTTTCACAGGATCTACACTGATATTTCTTTTTGTAAAGGATAATGACAGTAGATTTACAATTTCCAAAATTAATTGTTGCTTTTACTACAACCTTGAGACATGTAAGAGACCGTATCACAGTTTGAGAAAAATGGTCCCTGTATAACCACTGGCCTAGCCTTAAGTTACTCATAAAATGCAAAAAACCCCAAAAACCAAATAAAACCCACCACAAAAAACTTGGTCATAATGCCCTCATCTTTCAGATTCTGTAATCAATACAGAATACAGATTATTTGCTATAATTACTATCTTAAGCAAGGAGACATTAAATGTGTTTACTGTTATGGTAAAAATATCAGTGTGAATATAAACAACAAATGCTTAAAATTTTAGTCAAATCAGTAACTATATACCTGACTATCTGTATACAGTATACTATCTGTATACTATCTGACACAATTTTGCCCAGCTTTAAAGAAGATCAGAACATATTTTGATGAAACAAATGAAATTGTTCTCTTTTCTTCACATAGCTTTGTTTACAGTTGAAGTTCCTCAACAGCTCTACACTGCAGAGTACGGGAGCAATGTGACCATGGAATGCAGATTCCCTGTGAATGGCTCAGTGGATCTAGGACTCCTGTCTGTTTTTTGGGAACAGAAAAGGCAGGGCTCATCAAAATCAAAAGAGGTGTATACATTCCGTAATGGGAAGGCACTCCATCCATCTCAACATCCTGATTACATAGGAAGAGCATCACTTCTGCACAGTGAACTGATGTTGGGACGAGCCATCCTCCAGATCACCAATGTTAAGATCACAGATGCAGGATCATACCTTTGTCTCATTGACTACCAGGGTGTGGACTACAAGTACATTGCTTTGGAAGTAAGAGGTGAGTGGTTAAATTAAATGTAACTGTATATTCATTGAGACATCTCGATTAAATTCCTACAAGCTTGTAGAAATTGGTTAATCTGAAGGAATTTGTTGCTAGTTGTCTCACCAAGACTTTGTACTCAGCCTTCAGCTGAACCGAAGCAGTTGTCTTTGTAGTGGCTAGCCTTTGGTTCAACACCTGAGCTCCTCCGGGTGCACCTGGTGCTGGGGAGGGACAGCATCTGTTCTCCTTCCATCCTTCTTTCTACAGCCTCTTCAGTGCCACTACCTCCCTCCTCTTCTTTGATCCGCTTGTTGGGCCACACTCTGGTCATTCTAAAACGTTTCTCAGAGATGCTTTGATATCCTTATGAATCCTGCTGCAACTACTCAAGTGTCTGGGGATTCCCCAAGTGACTGCAGCTCTCAGAGCAAGGACATGCGATTTTCTGTGTCCATTGAAGCAAAATAGGCATTAGTAGTAAAGGTATATGTTAATAGAAAGCATGACAGACCAGATCCTTGAAAGATTTCTGGTGTTTCCCACTAATCTGTGAGAAACATCACACATATCTGTGTAATGCAAGGCAACATTCATTTCCCATCCATATATTTAAATAACAATATTTATCAAATGCAAAAATTGATATAGACATTCTTAAGACCCACATTAGTTCCTATGAAAAGTCAATTTTGTTATAATATGATGAAAATATTACACTGTTTATAAGCTATGGTAAAGCAAACATGAAATCAGGCTTTCAGAAAGTGGCATATTCTAAAAGTGAAAATAAAGCTCCCATAAGATTCCACTAGTCTACTCTGTCTTAATAAATTATAAATATAGTGTCAACTGCTGTCCTGTATAAAGTACTGGAGTGCATTCTTTTGCTGTAGGCATGATAAGGATTGAATAATCCATTTTGTATTGTTCTACAAAACATCCTTCATCATTTTAAATAAGTGTTCCACAGATATAACCATAGACAATACATAGCATTAAAAGGAAGCAGGGAAAGTGAAGTGGAGAAACAACTGCTGTTGCATACAACAATTTCACTCAACAACTTCTCATGCAGCATCTTACAAGAGAATAAATACTCGAGTAATGAGAATACCGGGTGAAGACAAGCTTGTTTTTATGTGCCAGTCAGAAGGCTTTCCTCTGGCAGAGATTTTCTGGCAAAATGAGAACTTCAATCTCAGTGGATTTGCAAATACCACCTATACACTGACTGCAGATGGCCTCTACAATGTCACCAGCACCCTGACATTCAAACCAAACATGAGTGAGAACTACACGTGTGTCTTCTGGAATAAAGAACTGAATGGAGAAACTTCAGCTCACTTTTCCACTTCAGGTTGGTATGAGCTTGAATTTGTATATGACAGTGTTTATACATACATCATGTGCTATGGTCCATCACTGGAGTTAAGTTCTAGAAATCAGTGTAATTTGGTAAACTGAACAAGTCAGTATTATTTATGTCTTTGAAGTCTCAGCTAGCTTCCATTCCAACAATCCAGTATGTATTTTTCTGTATATTTTAATTTTAGAGTAGCTTTCCTTATTTCCCTGCCAATACAAAGGGATTTTTTTCAGCTGCATGGGCATCTTCCCTGATAGTCTCCTACTTAATTATTCTATCTAGTTGTCTACCTTGACTTCAGCAAGGCTTTTGACATTGTTGCCCATAATATCCTCATGGGTAAACTCAGGAAACGTGGGTTAGATGAACAGGATCAAGAACTGGTTAAATTACAGAGTCCAGAATGTCGTGATCACAAGAATAGAATCCAGATGAAAGCCTGCTGTCAGTGGATCAATACTGGGTCCAATCTTATTCAATTTATCAGCAACCTGGACAAAGGAATCAAAGGCACCAGCACCACAGGTTTGCTGGTGACACTAAACTAAACTGAGTGCAGTGACTTAATGTGGCCTAGGGCTCGGGGGTCCGTCTGATCCCTGGCTGCCGCTGCCGTAGGTATCCGGATAGCGCTGGGCTGTTAGGCTCAGCCTGTCTGGGTCCCTCAGGCTAACTCCAGCCACAGGCAACTTAGCAAGCAACTCAGGAGTGATTTCAGCTCTGGTAAATTCAGCTCTTAGTTATTTCAGCTCTGTGCTTGCCAGTTCCTTAGGCAGACGCAGGGAGATGGAGATAGAAGTCTGTATGCAGTTCAACAGTGGTGTTCTTTAATTTCAGCTCCTGTGAAGGGGGCAGTGACAGTTTCTTCTGATGAACTGGGCAGAGATGGGGTTTGATATAGGGTACAGGGGTGTTGGAAATTGTCCAATGGCCAGGGTTGAGGAGAATACAACCTATAGCCTTACAGAGAGATAACAAGGGTCTGAATGCAGAAGAGGGGCTTCTTTGGTCCAGCCACCGTGACTTGGCATTTCTTATCTTAGCTGAGTGACCACCAGGGAGGCCTTGCAGGGCCTCTGACTGCTACAGTGGCTGATCCATCTGAAGGCTCTGCCGCCATTCCATGGACCTTGACTAGCTGGAGGGTTGGGCAGAGAGAAACCTGGTGAGGTTCAACTGAGTGTATGGTCCTGCACATGGGGAGGAATTGTCTCATGTGCCAGCACAGGCTGGGGCTGACCTCTGTGAAGTGGTTCTGCAGAGAAGGACCTAGGAGTCCTGGCAGACAAAAAGCTCTCCATGAGCCAGCCAAGAAAGCTAATGGTATCCTGAGGCACACTAGGAAGAGCATTGCCAGCAGGTCAATGCAGATGATCCTGCCCCTTTACTCAGCAATAGTGAAGCCACAACTGGAGTGCTGTGCCCAGTACTGTGACCAGTTCTGGGCTCTTCAGGACACAAGAGAGAAGGAGGTACTGGAGAGGGTTCAGCAAGGGCCACAAGGATGATGAGGGGTCTGAAGCATCTCTCTAATGAGAAGACTGTGTTTAATCTGGAGAAGACTGAGAGGTTTCATCAATATATGAAAATATTTCAAAGGCAGATGCCAATAGGATGGTGCCAGACTCAAATGCCATACAAAAGAGAGGTATGACTGGATTTTTTCTCTGAGGTTTTTCACAGTAATATTTCAGAACACATTATTCATAAATGAGTGTAAATCACTATGCTGATAAATTTTAAAAATCTTTTGTTCAGTCAGAACAAGACTTTGGAGAAACAGAACTAATAACTTGATAAACAATGCCTGCTTTGTAAGTTATAAATGTATTCTCCTTTAATATTTTTAACAGCTTTAATGAGTACACAGTATAATGGACAAAAATTCCTGATCTCTTTAATCGTCCCCACATGCGTGACTGTAGCTGTCCTTCTCTCTGCACTAATAATATTTCAGAAGAGAAAATCATTCAAGAATGAGCAACACAAAAAAGGTACATTTTACTTCAGATAGTGAAACTTTTCACTATTTCTTTACTTTTCTTGTGAACAACCTTGAGGAAATTTTAGTAAGGCACACTTGCATTAATTTGGTCACACTTTATTTCTAGATTGCAAGAGGGTAGAAAATGAGATCTTGGATAATTTGAGTTTTATTTTCCTCACTGTGTTACCTGTGTGAGACAAGGTGTATGTAAAGATACATTTTTAAAGCTGACCAGCTAGTATTCTGTACAGAGCTCAAACAAACTTTGCCTCATGTAAGGAGGACTGTAAAGCATAGTTTCAACAGTGTTTTCTTCATAGGTACAAAGACATTGTGGCTACAGTATATTTGGCTACAGTATATTACACAGAATTTTTATTTTTCAACTCCATTATGGTATGATACAGGACAGCCACAATATTTCCTTCCTTGTTTGCATGTACAGTAGTAAAAAACTAATAAAGCAAACAGACTATTACTCCAGTATTTTCTTGCACATGAACAGACACTAGTAAACTAGACTATATATATTTATAGTCATGAAAGAAGTCTTAATATTACGATTTCAGAATTTGGTTCAAGTTTTCTAAGGTTTTTAAGTTTTGTAAATGAAAAGAAACATAGAGAAGTTTATTTATTTGGTATGATTTAATAATAAACTTAACTGTGCTCACAGCTCAGTTAATCTAAAGATTTGTTGAATATTTATAGTTACAATATAGTTTCTTTCAAATGTAGAAATGTTTAAGCTAAATTTTTGTATATTTACTTTAATAGACAGGAAAAGAAAACTGAACCCGAACGCAAAGGATGAGAACAGTAAGTCATAGGCAATTTTTGAAATTTACATTTACAGATTTTTCTTTCTTACATCTAAAATATAAAAAAATATGTAGATTGTAACCTAAATAATGTGACATCAAAATAGAGGGTAGCTTTGAATTTAAATTCTCTTATTCTTGAGTTTTTACAAAATGCAGTTTCTAAAATTTTGACTTTCTCTTGGGCAATGTAAAAATTTGAAAATATTGGTTCCCTTTCACTAAGGTGTGAAGAGCTTTCATACACAGGTCAGCACACATCTCTGTATACCAGCTGGGGTTCTAGTAGTCTTGGCTGAGAAAGATACTCACAGAAAGCTGGTTGCTTTGGATAGCATCAAGATTTTTGTGGCAATAGTCTGTTATACTTTTGGATCAAGCTACAGGTTTTAACAATAAATAAAATGATACATCATTTATCTAGAATATTATATAACCTCCTAGGCTACCTCTTATCTTATGAGAATCTGACTTACCTAGACATCCAGAAATTTTTACAATTCAGAGAGAAGATAATACCTAAAAAAATTGTCAGGATTCATCTAACTGTTCTGTACTAAAATTGAACTGAAAGAAAAAGATAACACCATAGAAAATGATAGATCAATACAAGGAAAGTCTTAATTCACCTACTGATATAAATCAATTTTGTTACCTATAGATAACAGTTTGACAGGCTAATGCATTGTGAGGTGAGAGGCTGTGGCCAGTGTTAGATACAGAGGTACTTGGTTCAGCCATAATTCCTTGGTGTCCAAGCAGACCCTCACATAGCATACTGAGGTCAGCCCTGAGGCTGCCAAAGAGCACAAATGGAATAATACTGTGATGCAGCTAACCAAGTGAACACAGAGACAATGCTGGGCTTTTCCAAGGACAGCATTTTTTTGAGAATCTCACTGCTAAAAAAATACACGAAGAAGTCACCAGCTTAAAAAATAAATTCTGTAGGTGAAAGGTGGAGATTGGATGAAGAGGGCACTGATTTCCAAATCACCTCAGGTTGTCATATTTGCATCTTAACTGTAAGTGTTTGATCCACTGCTGTCTGTAGATATTACAATTGAAACAACACTTTCAGAAAGACACTTTCACCTTCCAGAAACCTTGCAGCAGTCAGAGTCTCATTCTCATTTTTCATGTGACACTGTGAAACTTTAGTGGCATCATGCCATGCACTAATGAACACAAGCTCAAGGCAAGCAGTATTCTGGAGAACAGCGTTGGTGCATGTCTGGACATCATTCTTGTGTATATTGTCTGAGCATAGCTTGGCTTCCCCTGGCTTTTTGTATTACTTTTGTATTTTTCCACTTTGTAGCCTCTTCTGTGCACTTAGTGAAATGAAGAAATTAAAGGAAACAAGGCCACACTTTGTGGTTTTACTTCTTCATTTTAATGATGACAAAAACCTTTGTCTTTCTTGTAACATGCAGTAAGTCAGATGACAAACATTTATATTTCTCAGCATTGGATATTTTTAAGAAACCCTGGAAAGAACCTTTTTTCCATGATGAGTAGGTAGTTGAAGCATAAAAGGCACAGATAGTTTACCACAGTGCCTTGGAAATGACCCATACAGTCCTGGTTACAGGAACAAGGACTGTTAATCTACCGGTTTTAACTTACAGCTCAAGCTGTATCAGAACTGAATATGTAGGACATTTAAACTCATCACTGAAGTCCCAGTTCTGCACACTTTTAATCACATGCATATATTTACTGACAATCATTACCAGGGATGCTCTCTAAAAAGATTTCAGTTTTGTCATTTCATTTATATGGCTGAAAGTGGGTGATAGCTTTGTTTTAATAGAAAATTCAGATAAAAGAGATAATTCTTTCCTGGAAAAGATCACAGCAGATGTAAACTATAACAGCTTTAAGGAGCTATTGTAACTTCAGCATGATACAGGAGACTGAGCTTTCATTCTTAACCCACCCAGTTGTTAAATAATCAGGCTTTTTATTTTCTTAAATTACTGCAGATTTTTAAACTAATACTATTGCATTTCTTTCTTTAAGGTGATGATTTTAACTCTCAGACTGAGGCTTTATACTTGTCAACTGTCACAACTTCAAGAGATAGTGGAAGTGTGGATCTGTGAAAATTCTTCATATTACATGCCATAATTTGCACTTTTTCTATCAGTTTTTGGGGACTTCAAAAGAAAATTACAGCACTTTAGCCTTAGGATAAACAGTGAATTCATGGGGATGTATTTGCACTGCAGCAATGGAAAGCTATGCCTCCTCAGACACCATATCTTCTTGAAGTTACTGAGAACTATGCTGTCACAAAATGTGGTTTACCACTGTGAAGAGGTCAACTGAGTGCCTTTGATAAACTTTACTTTTGGACTTACTGTTGCTCAAGGGATTTTTGTTTAACCTTTATCAACTGTTCCAGTCTCAGGAATGGTGCTTTGAGTCAAAAATCTTGTGGAATTTGAATAAAAGCTGTAAATGCTATCTTATGTCAATTATCTTTCTGGTGGAAACATCATTACATGCCCATATCCCATTTCCAAATTTTATAACACATTAAACTGGATATTACCACAAGTACCACCTTGCATCATTGTATCCACTTGTATAACTTGTATCATTGCAACATCTAGAAGCTATTTCATATCACAAGAAGAGGTTGAAATTAAATGAAAGTACAGACAAAAAACCAAAAAAACAACAAACCCACACAATATTAGCAATAAGTCAACATTATGTTGCAGAAGAGAATTTTCATGTCTATATAAAACCCCACAAGTCAATCAGGTAAAAACCATGAACTGTGATACTATGCTACATGACAGTAAAAGGTTTCAAATTTGAACTGATTATTCAACAGAATTTTCTTTAGGAGGAATTTGGAAGCAAAAGTGAAAATGATGCTGAGAGAGATTTCTGCACTGTTTATTTTTAAACAATAATTTTGCCTTTGTTAAGGAGTCTTTTCCATGCCAGGCTGCTTTGCTTCCTAATACTGGAATGCCAGATTTGGAAAAACATCCAAAATGAAACAACTTTGCCCCTTAGTCATGAGATAATGAAACAAGGGCACTGGGTAAGATCTGTCATATTGTTTTGAAAGACCAGTGGCTTTGGTAAACTGTGTTTTCTACTAAAATAGATGTAACAAGATTGGAGAAATGTGTTCATATGGAACCTACTTCTACTATTATCTTGCTCTTAGAAGAGTTCCAATGATTGAAGTTTTTTCATAGCACTTGCTCTGAATTTGGATGGGAACTGCTTCTCCAGTGTCACTTCACAGCTATTGATTCCAGCAAAAAGTGGACCTACAGTGCTGCTATGAGACCAGAATATCAGCATTGATGCTCTCTTGTTTCACCAGGACAGGTGATTTTAAAAAGCAGGACTGCCATTGATTTTACTTGTGGAGGAGGAAAATTAATTTCTCTCTCACATCATCTGTAATTTAATATCTATGCATTTCACCTTTAATTACCCATTTGTAGCCACTGGATTCAGCTGAGACAAATCTGCACTAGGCTTGCAATGTCCTATGTCCTTGCTGACACTGCAAATCAGGCACATCTCAGAGAAGCACTAGTTAGCTTAATACGGAATAGCAGCTTAGGAACTGTCCTGGCTTGCACCATTTAGCAATATTTAAGGGTCAAGCAATTTCTCTCTGTCCCACATTCGTACTCTGCTGGGAACTATGACCCCTTGCTCTTCCGTCAGCCATGGTGGAATCTAACCCACTGTGTTCTTGGAAAAACTTAATTTTGCATTTTTCTATTTATTTTTCCTCATTAAAATTAAATAGAAGTAATAAAATATGAATTTATGTGGATGAACATAAATAGTACACTTCAGTCTTTGCAATTAGGTTATGGTGATTATCATTGTTCTTTACTGAAATGGAAATAATCTTGCCATTATTTTATACTTATTGTTTTATTTCTTATATATGAGTAAATGCTGCCTTGTGTAGGCAACAAAGAACAGATATGGGTAGCATTTCCTGCCCATTTTACAGGCATGGCAAACATTACCCTGCTTTCCCTCTTACTGGATTGTACACTGAAAGGTTTCACCTGGCAACCCTAGGCAGAGGCAGCTCAGTTTTCCACAACATTCCTATGCCCTATCCACTCATTTAATTATGAATGGAACAATAGCACTGTTTACTGCAATAACTATAACAATACCTAGAAATGTATTTTGGCTCATGAGTTTCTATTTTCACCAGCTCTCACAGGATACTTACAAAGCTGACTATTACATCTGAGTATGTGAAAGTTAGCTTGTCAGCAGTTTGGCCAGTCTATTTATAATGTTTATGAATTAATGCAAGGCTTGTCTTTTACTGTAAACCACTGAGCATATGATACGTATGTGATATAATGAGTCTCTGTTCTTTCTGCTTCACCTACTGTTTTACATGCTGTTATCTCCAAACAGCTGAAGTGAGTTTTCACATACAAATTGCCTGTAAAATGCTTGAAGGGTTTGTGTTCTGTTTGTTTGGGGTGCTCTCTCTGTGGTTTTTGTTGTTGTTGTTGTTTGTTGGGTTTTTAAAACAAATTAGGTTGTGGGTTTTTGTTTGTTTGGTGGTGTCATTGTCTTTTTGTTTGGTTTTTTATAGTTTTGAACTTTACAGTGAGAAATGATATTATGAGACCATAAAACTATTAGGTATTTTTAGAGTTTGACTTGTACTGTCATCTGGCATTTTTGAATGGCAGAGAGGATACCTCGCATAAGATACTGTTACCCTTTCTGATATGTACCACCTCTATTCATGTCCATACATTTGTCTCAACTAGGTGCACGTCATAAGCAATAGCAACTTAGTGTACTGAAAAAAAGTAAGAATTCAACGGAAGTTGTTGGAATGTTTTTGAAAACATGTGCAAAGAATCTGCTCAGTGGTTTATAGTCACCTAAAATATATTTCACTGAACTTTAATGATGACAATTTTTCACAAGCAAGTAGAGAGTTTTTTTTCAGTATTGAATTTTTCTAGTATAGCTAAGGAAAATCTGCTTTTCCAATCCACTGACCTGTTTTACTAAGTATGAGTGAGGTACTTACCATTTTAATACAGGAGCAACTGGCAAATGGGGTGATTAGTCTTTCTGTTCACTCCTCACCTCTGCTAGCTACCAGAGGTTTTAAGGGCTTATAGTAGGTTTATTTCAGCTTTTTTACACTCACAACATTTCCAGTAGCTGTGAGTTGCAGCTTGGTCTGTAATCAAGAGCATAGCACAGAATATGGTTAGCTGTTTGTACCAAGTCCACTTTCATACTGGCAGCAGCCTAAACCCATACCATTTTCTTGATTCCCATTACCATAGACATGTCTGAAAGCAACCACTAACATCAAGAAGGTTAATATCTCTGGAAGAAGACTCAAGATGAAGAGATATTCCTAACAGCCACTTGAAATGCCTTGCAAGACTTAGTCTGCATACTAGAAAACCACCAGCTGATTCTGACTATGGGAGCAATTGGAAATGCCTTTTACAATTTTGGACATCAAGAAACCCCTATTCTTTCTTAAGAAATACTGCAGTTTTCTTATGGAGTTTCTTTTTTCATCTGACAGAACCATATGTTTGCCACCAAAAACATTACCTACTTATTCCACAAAATAGTTACAAAGAAAGGTTTTACAAGTCCCATCCATACAGTAAAAGGTCACTTTTACAGGAATAAGTCTAACATTTCTATCCTTTCTGTGGGGATGGGGATCAACTAAGCAATCTTAGAAGTCCTTTCTAACCCAAAATGACCTTTGACTGTAAACTTGTTGCTCCAGTTAACTTCTATATCCTTTGTAATTATCTTATTTCTCTTTTACTCTGATGAACATGTGCCTTAGATCAATGACTATGATCTGGTTCAACAAGATATCCTGGTTTTCCTCACCATATGTCAAGCACACTCTGTAATACTTTTTTATAGCTAGTGCTTGGCAATATTTCACTCAAACTCAATATGCAGACATATGGTAAAAAGTAGCTGAAACAGATAAATGCACTGTGCAAATATTGTTAAAAGCTGACTTTAATGAACTACTGAGTTCACTTTTGGTTTTATTTTCAATGCAATTTTCAGCAGCTGTTTGTTTACTCACAAGCATATTTCCTTAATGGGCTTTTCCAAGTGAGAAGTGAAACATCTTCATGCAAAGTCTGTGTTAGAAACCACATTACATAAGGAATGATGCAGTAGAAATTTGCACAGTGGGCTTAAGCTCATTCCTTACATGAGTTTTTCAAGCAGTAGGGTGAGATGATTACCTGAGTCCCAGCTGGTGAAGGTGGTGCTTTCATTGCTGAGGTGGGGAATCTATCTAGTCAGATATTTGGGGTTCTAATCACAATACTGCTAGCAAGAGGATTTCTGTGCTACTGGACAACAGTATTTGTCTATAAAATAACTTTTTCAGGTGATACAATTAACATACTCCTTACATAAGTAAATTTGTTAGTCTCAACTATGCAAATCTGGCAAAACAGAGACTAGGTATCAGTGAATAGATGCATAAACTTGAGAAAATCACTAGGAAAGGAGAAGCCGTTGTTGAGAATAGGGAACAGGAGAAGGTCAACAATTTTTTTTTTTCAAGAGGGACACAGAATGTTTGTGAAAATAGTGAAGTCAGATGAAACACTGTGAATCCAAAGAACTTCCCACTTAATATAAGAAGTTATAACTGCTGAGGCATGTTTCTGTACATCCCCAAAATATTGCAGTCCTATTGCACAGATCTCCCTCAGACTGGTAAGAAAACTGAGAAAGCAAGACAGCTTTCTGGAAAATTTATTGAGCAGAAGCAACATTTTAGACCTCCATGCAAAGTCTTTGATTTTCTCTATGTTTGCCATGCATGTACTTTATGCTCCTAAGGAGTTGTGAAGTAAAATGCAAGCCACAGAGGGTAGACCTTGCTGAGATACTGGGGAAGATGCCACAGGTTAGAACCCTGCTTCTAGTCTATTTAAATGCTCAGAATCAGGCACAGAATCTAATTCACTAAACCTAAGAGATGAAGAATCTGGTGAATTCTCACAATTTCTTCTCTTAACATAGGTTTAACAGTTTAACTTCAGAAGAGACTATTCACTCAATTGTTTTAATTGTCACTATGTTTGAGTGTATGAAGAATGGTTTGGGTCTTTTATAAAAAGTCTCAAACTTCATTTCTACAGAGTTGTTCAGTTTTCCAAAACTAAAAATGCTTGTGACAACTGCTGCAAGAGGACAGAAGTTTAGAGTCCCTGTCCTTCTAGAACTTCCACTG